ACCAATTATCTGAAAATGATCTATTATTTCCCTTACCCGCACTAATATTTATAAGCCGGGACATTTTAGGCAAAGGACGCCCCTTATTTTTAATAACAATTTGTTCTTCGTATGGAATAGATGAAAACCCATTATGCAAAATATAATTTACAATATCAGACTTATCAATATTTACAGTTTCTCCATGGCTTGCATTTTTAGGTTAATTTACCTGAATTTGTTTACACTTTAATTTAAAAAAAACTTCTAATATGTCAAAAAACCCTTTAACCTTTAACTATTTACGGCAGACGTAACGTATCACAGTATTACTTTAGAAAATAAAAAATAAATCACAAAAAGAAAGACTAGTTCGTGCACTGAATATCACTTTTCAGTTCGCGACCAATCACCAATCCAAATGAAACATCGGCAAATTTAAATGAGCCGTACTTGGTAATTAAATTCATATGGAAAGAAATGTATATTTGGTTGCTAATCAACCAATATTCCGTTGATTTTTTACAAGTAAAGTCAAGGTTGGGATCGGCTAGCCGAAAAAACAAAACGTGCCTTTTTAAGAATTCATAGGCGGATGGATGTCTCCGATATCGAATCATCTATTTGAAAAGTGCCTACGCAGGGATCACTTAATGCTCAGATTGGACGAATTCTTTTAAAAACCATGAATAAAATTTAGTCTTTATTATTTCACATATATTTTTTTAGTTAACAAAAACAAATGACATCAACTGATTACCTGCCACAATTATTTATTGAAATACTGATTAAATTAAATATTAAAATAATCTATAATATCTATAAAGATGTGGGTCGGCACTGCCGACCCTGACCGTTCGCCACAGATAGAATATATGGTAAACAAGATAGTCCTGCCCCCTTATCAACCTCAAACGTTATGAGTATATCATTCAGTAATACCTGCATTTTGATTGGCTCTAACAAATCATTTTCTAAACAAAATATCAACATTAAAAAAATCCAATATCTGTACCTCTGGTTCTTTGTTTGCCTCAACACTAAAATTGTTGTCCATTTTTGTTTTGCAAGCCTTAACAGCATGCCCTTTCTTTTTACAGTTGTTACATGTCTAACTTTTAAATTTACAATTTTTAAAATCGTGATTGGCTTTATTACAATGAAAACATAGTACATTATTAGAATTTACCTTCATATTTGTCTTTTTATTATACTCTGAACTTGCCTTAAAATGTCCTTGCTTCACTTCAGTCTGCCTTCGTACACTTACATTATTCTTCCCATGGTTGATATCAACCTCAGTAGCTTTCCTCATAGAAGTTTCTTTTGACACAGCAATTTCAAGCAGCTCTTTCAACTTCTTCCTATTGGGGCCTTCTTCGCACAAACGATCTAAAATTGGGCCTTGTCTCATACAACAAACTTTTCCTGGACTCTATATAGTAGGGATGGGAAAAACCTACCGGTTTTAACCGGAAACCGGTTTTTTTACTTCGCAATAAACCGGTTTTACCGGTTGTTTTTTTGTCCCGGTTATAACCGGTTTTTTATTTTTAAAGTAAAAACCGGTTATTAGGTTTTTTAGTTGTATTAGTATTATTTAGTTATTATTTTGGATTCCAATCATAATTATTATTCTCAAGTAATTATTCCAAATAAAACCATAATTCAAATTTTATTTTATTTTATAAATACAGAATCAAACTGATAGTGCAAACTCATTATATCAGCCAGAAACAATTAAGTCTTGTTATAATATTTCGTTCAAAGGTAATTATAATCATAATATTTACATAAAAAGTGATCTGGTACATTACATATTTTTCACACTTGACTCTTGACATTGAAAGTTGGTGAATGGCTTTTCTGATTACCAAAAATAATAATAGTCTGACTATGAATATCGAATTACCGAATACGAATACGAATCTCCAAGGAATTCGCTACGTTTTCAAAACAATACAGGAAGTATTAAATGAGTTAATGTACCTATTAAACAAATATACAAGCGTGTTAAAAGTTATACATGGTAAACTTTTTTTGATGGTAAACATATAAGATGAATTGCATTATCCAATTTATTTTTAAGTAAAATATTTATCTTAATATTATTTTTTTTTAAATCCTATTTAAAGAGTCTGGGAAATTTTTTAGAGGATTATATTTTCAAAGGGTAAATTAAATTTGCATCATTTAGTTGAATACAATAATTGCATTTTATATTCTACTCTCATAATATATTCAATGAAAATAGAACCTGAATTATTTCAGCGCTCTCTCTTGAGCAGTATTATAATAATTTTGGTTTTGGTTTACTGTTCTCTACATCTGACTACTGAAATTCACAAATCTTTGGGATTCACACAAATCAAATATAATTTCGATCACAGGTTATAAAATAATTCCCATGACGACATTGAAGACTAGTTATACATTAGGAGTGCCTAAATAAATCTAGTAACAACGCCGTTTCCTTTTCATCTTCAAGTTTCGAATTTTTTAACTTTTACCATGTCGAAATCATTTGTATGGAATTTGTTTTCCAAGCGTAGCAACATGAGGCACAGTGCAAGTAAAGGAATTAATAGGGGAATTTTGTTTTTGCTTAGGATAAAGAACTGGCGGACATCATAACTTTTTTGCATAGAGGCGATCAGGAAGCATCTTCATCAGCTTCTGAGGCGAGTGTGAGCTTTGCTTCATATTGCACATATTAAATTTAGTTGTCACAGATTGCCTAGAAGATATAAACAATGTAGCATTAAAAATGTAATAAACGAAATAAAAGCCATAGCCACTTTCGCTAGGCACAGCAATCTCTTCATGGAAAGGTTACGGATGGAGCAGGAACGGGAGGGCAAGTCAGAGGGTGAAGTGAAGCTTTTGGTACAATCCGTACCAAGCAGATGAAATTCTGTCTACCATATGCTTAAAAGATTCACACTAATATCCCCATATATAGCTGCAATACTGGCAGATCCCTCAATTAAAAAATCACCAAGGATGATTTATTTTCTGCTTCGGATATAAAACTGATCACTGAAATTGTAACAATTTGATCACCTTTTGATGAGGCTACAAATGAGATCTCGGGTTTCCAGTAAGATCGTTAAAAAACCTCAAGCCAAATCTTAATACAGCCCAAAAAGTTATGCAAAAGCTTATAACTAACCTTCAAGAGAGGGGCATCTCTCTTGAAGGCTTTTACGAAAGCTTTTCAATTAACCTAAGCTTTTACGAAACCCCCCTGCTTTGCCATGCTACAATCACGGACCCTAGGTTCAAAAAACTATATCTGAATCCGTTTATAGCGGAGACAGTCACATCCAATTTAGGCTCGGAAGTAAGAACTTACCTTACCGAAATCGGAAAACTTTCTCCTTTCTGCTTCTTCCAGAATAAAGAAGTCAAAGTGAGTTTAAAATCAAACCCTCTTTGGTCTTCACACGATCTGGAGTTGGTGAACAGTGGTTCCAGTTCAACTTCTCAGGACACACGGATTCAAAGTTCTTTTCCAAATGAACTGACTCAATATCTGCAGCAGCCTTTGCTGCCGAGATTGAGTGTTCTGTTTTCATTCTTGAGCAGCACAGAACCTGTATGCCAGGCTTGGTTTTTATAGCTAAAAATACATGTCGTTGGTCGGAAGATCGGTGGCATCAGAGGAAAATGGTGTCATCATTGAATGATATTGTGTCAGATGAGAGAAGCCGCTTAACCGACCAACATATATATGAACGAGTTTTTCTCAATAGGCTTCATAAAAAAATATTGGCTAACATAATCTTAAATACATTTCATATAATAGGTAAGGTAACATATTTGTTACCTTCTAACCTATACTTTTTTACTTAAAATATTACTTCATTCTACTTATACTTTAATGTTACGCTATATTATATTTAATGATAAATCAATAATAATAAAATAATAAATAAATATAATAATTAATATAATAAAATGGTTTTATTAAAAATTGTGTTTTATTAATATTGATAGTGATGTTCTTTCGATAATACCAATTTTGATCATATTGATATCGAGTAGAATGAAGTATCGTAAACTAAAGTGCATTGTAAATGTAACTTTGTAATATATTGGATTAAAAAAACCGAAAACCGGTTTTTGGAAAAAACCGGTTTTTTTGGCCGGTTATAACCGCCAGGTTAAACCGTAAGCAAAAAAACCGGTATAAACCGAAAACCGGTGTTTTAGTCAAAAACCGCCATCCCTACTATATAGTAGATTTGTACAAAAGTCGCACTCTGTTTCCACACTTTAATAAACCAATATTGATTGACTCCTGATCTTGTTTCAATAAATCAAACTTCATTCTTCGTCTTTATATAGAAACTCTGGGTTTAAATTGACTAGCCAGTAATCTAATTATTTCATCGTAGCTTTTTTTTGTTTAGCCGGTGAACATAAATTTTTCAAAATTTTATAGATATATTGCTTAAGCAGCCATAAATTTGCCAACAAATACTGCTCCAATCTTTCTTCGAACACTTCGAAAACGTCGTCCTGCTTATAGCCTGCTAGGGCTGAAATATTCCCGGCATTAACCATCGTCAAATTTGCTGTCCCTTGGGTTTTGGGCCATTTCGTCCTAGTCTAAGATATTCAGACACAAAAACATTTAAAAATAATGATTATTAGGAAGTTTTACTCGTCGCAAATTTATGTTGTGTTATTGTAAAATACAAAATTGACTACGATCTAAGCTTTTACATAAGGAGCCAAGCTAACCTCTAATTCTCTCCCTTGGCGATAACCATTCCTTCTACTTCTGTCATCTTTTTTAAAGCCAAGTTTACACGAAGTATTTCTTAATATACTAACAAAGATTATAGACGCACTTGCGTCTATATTCTTTGATACTACACTTATCGTATTTTTTTCTGTATTCGTTTTTTAATGCTAACCTAACCGAACTCATCTTAACGTATAAAAAGCTTCATCTAGTCCTAGGACGTACCCCAGTTATTTAATAATAACAAAAACTTCTTTCATCTTTGTAGGTGGTTCCGATAGAAAACTATCTTACTGGGAAGTCTTGGACGGAAGTCTAGTAAGAGAACTAGAAGGTTCACCTACAGGCACCATCAACGTTCTGGACATTTCCCCTGATGGTGGGCATTTTGTGAGCGGAGGTAATGATCAAATTATCAAAGTATGGACGTATCAAGAAGGTAAGGTCATATAAATAGAGGAAATCTTAAGTATAGTCGGTTCGCTATATTTACGCGGGTTTCGGATTAAACATTTTATTGTAAGTACCCAGTTTTAATTACCTGCTCTTTGGGGAAATATCAACTGGTCAAATGAAATGAAAAATAATCCATAACTTTTTTTAATTAAATAATAATGGAAAATCTTTTATATAATTGACAGTATAATAAGGAGAATTACTTCATTAATGTAGTCTAATGTGGCTAATATAAACCTAATAATAATTTTATATTACACTTCACACAGAAAATATGGTCTATGTATATTTGTTCCATGGAGAGAATTTCTAATGAAAAATAAAAAAATTTAACTTGCCAACAAAAATGAAAATCAGTCATTATCATCGAAAATATCATAATCGTCATCATCATCACTGTCATCATCATTCCATTAATTGTTATTATGATTGGACTTATTTCGTTTATTTTATTTTCACGAGTCCACCAATCTTCTATTAGTTTCTCGCACTTGAATATACAGTTGCACCACACTTCTGGAGTTCATGAAAGGCCTTTCGCCAAGTTTCCCGAACTGCGTCGTCGCTATAACCGTTAGGCCCAATATGGTTGTCATAATATTGTTTTGCTATTCCCCATATATATTCGATGGGATTAAACTGGCAATGATACGGAGGCAGACGTAAAACTTGATGACCGTAACTTTCAATAATCTGATCCACAACAAAGGTTTTTGGTTTTGCGTGGATATTTGCCAAGCGTAATAATTCTGATTTTAAAATATGTTGTGTAAATGGTATATGTTCCTTTGTCAACCATTCTTTAATTTTATTAACAGTCCAAGAATTCGTTGGACTTTTTAATAATACTACATAGTGGAATATTTTTATTCTCAGTACCGCTCTGAATGGCTTGTTTAAGCTTGGGTACACAGTTTACTTTAATTGCTATCGACGTATCTTCATCTTGCCTCACTAGAGGGCTCTAGTTGCATACTCTGGTAGTTATTTTCATGTAATTGCCAGAGTAATCGGTGCGTTTTGATTTGGTTTGAGTCTTCTTACAAACTCCTTCTGATGACGGGTAGACCCAGAAACACGTGTCAGGGAGTGGTAAGAGACTCAAATTAAATCGAAACGCAACATTCTTCGTATTTTTGTTTAATACTTCAGAATGGTAAGGTGCATTGTCTAAAATAATTACGCTGGGCTCACTTAAACCTGGGAGAAGTTTTTCATGTAACCATTTTACAAACATTTCTGTGTTCATATTATCGTGATAGTCACTTGATTTTGATTTAGATGAAAATGTTAAATCAGCACCTTCTGTAAAACCCGATTTCCCTCCTGCATGTAAAATTATGTGTCGCTTCCCTTCTCCATCAGTATGTTTGATAGACTTTATGTTATCATCTTGCCATATTCTCTTGGTTGCACTCCTAGAAAATATCCATGTTTCGTCTAAATATATAAAATTTGCCCTTTCTTCTTTTAATTTAGAATATTTTCTTAGAAAGTTAATTCTTTTATTCACAACAGAACTTCTTTCACAAAGGGCTTTTCTGTTATCCTCCTTTTGAAATTTGAAACCCAAATTATGTATCACTTGCCATAGACTTGTTCTGCCAATTTCGTCAAATTTTCTATCTTTTAATTCCGAGAGAATTGTATTTAAGGTCACATGTTCCTTGTTGGCTCGCATTCGATAAATGGCATCACGAATTTCAAATTTTTTCCCATCTGGAATATCTTTCGTTTTCAATGATAGGTAAGTTTTTCGGTGATCTTCTTTCGGCCGTTCATTATTGCGATTTTGTAATACTCCTTTTAGTTTGGTTTTACTAATTCCTAGAGCATCACATACGGTTGTTGAACAGACATTACCGTAGAATAATTATGTACACTACAAATTAGACTATCTACATCTAACACACGTCTAGGCATTTTTAAATATTTCCACCAAACATACAATGTCAGCACTGGCAAAGAATCAATTCAACTGCAATATTGTAACAAATTTATACCTACCCTAATGTTATTTTAATGTATTTTAAAATATGACCATTAATGCAGTTTTTACCTAATTTTCTAAGAAGTCGTTTACTGCAACTGGTTATCAATGAGTCATTAGCATGATTTTGTTAATCCGAAACCCGCGTAAATATAGCGAACCGACTATAAAACAACGAAGGTAATTCGTGAAACGGCTCGTACTATAGATATTTCTTCAGTAGAAACTTTTTTCAACTACAAAAGAAGTTTTTGAAGTATTACATATACGAGGTTGTAGAGTGAGTAGAGCTATAAATTGAGTTTTGAATGATAATCACTCAATTCCTCTCTAGGTCGCAAACTTTTTGTCAGTTGATATTATATTAATTCTCGCATAATAAATATGCGAGATGCGATATTAAGACTACGAAACTGAATTATTTTTATTTTAAGGTATTGCAACTCACATCGGCGTAGGTCACGCTGGAGTAATCACCGCAGCGTGCTTCAGCGCCGACGGAAAACACATAGTTACCTGCGACGCCTCTGGCTGTATCTTCGTGTGGAAAAGTCCCTTTATAAAAAAATCGGTCTCTGGAAATGGTAAAATTCAGTCTGCAGAAGTGAAGAAAGCAGCTACTCCGCCTAGAAGATTCAGCAGGGGAGAGGAGCACATAAAAGACCTGCCTAGTGTGCGTAGCAGTAGAAGCAGTGTTCATCACCAGAAGATTTGTGATGAGTGTTGTCCTTGCGATAAGAGTTCTTCGGTAAGTTCTAGAAGTACTCGAAGTTCCTTAATCAGTTGTAAATGATTGGTTTGTTGGCTGAGGAAGTACTATTTATATGGATGCATTTTTTATACACACTTTATTTATTTTATACTTTTATATAACGTATTTTGTAGTGATTTGAGAAAATATATTTTTAAAATGAATCTAATGCATTTGTAAAATTAATTTTTCCTAGACGACGAAGGTTAAATCTTCAAAAAACATTTCTTTAATTAAATTTTCCAGAGGAACACTTATTATTGGCTACTAAAGAAAAAATTTGGGCTATAGATAAATTCACATTCAGATGGCAGCGTTACAGAGATAGGCCTGTACTTTCTATATGCCAGAAATAACTACATTGTTGTCAGTTTTTAATCGTACCTACAATCGTACGTTATGGGCCGGCTCCTATAAAAGAATTATAATTTCGGAAATATTTATGAATGTGAAACGGAAGAATACTACATTTTTTTAATTATATAATTTTTCTGTTGGTATTTTAAAAATAGAAAGTTATATTTCGGAAATCTGGTCTTTTCGGAATTATATCTTCTGTTCCAAATTGTTTACAATTCGTGGAAATGGAATATTTATTTGTATAATCCGTTTTTGATCTTAATGTCCTTTTAATGACACACTTTCTCTACCTGCATTTACAGTTACAGACATTTAAAAATAATTCAAATATAAATTCAAAATTATTGTCTAATGCCAGCAATTATAAATTCAGGTAAATACTTGAGAGTCATTAAAAGAATTTTCAGTTGATATCAGACGTTTGTGTCGTGTCAATGTCAAAATGGCCGCGAGTGTAATAAAATTCAAAAACGGTAATTTGTTAAATAGTAGAGAGTTATCAAGTAAAATTTTATCCTTCCGTTATTTTGACACGTAAACGCTATTTTTTACGGTATAAAGTCTTACGGATATGTAATTTTAGAGTTATCAAATAGTCGTTAATAGTTGGCAGCTGTCAGTCAAATATCGTATGTGACAGCAAAATAAATAATTTTTTTGTTTTCTTTTATCCAGGGTATATATTTTGTTTGATTTTGTACATTTCGGGTTTCAAATTTTTTGTACACAAATATGAAAGAAATTTTAGAACAAGCAATATTATTTGAAGCAAATGACTAAGTTATAGAAGATTTTATATTAAATCATATTTTAAATGATAACATACTAAAATGTATATTCGGTATTCAATTTGGATAGCTTAGAGCCTGCGCAAGCCAAATATTTTCGGTTTGAAACACAGAACATTCCAGAGAGTTGACTCCTCGCACTTCTTTTACTAGTAACAGGTCATCAGCGCTTGTAGAATGAAGCCCTTTTTGTCGTTTTCACTATTTCCGTGTTCATAATTGATAAATATAATAAAATGTTTTATTTGTCTCGCAGATGCTTAACCAAGAAAACAGAAAACACGTGTTAACCAATGCATAGAGATAAAATTACACAACATGAACTCGAAAACTCGAGTCCCGAGTCTTGACGAATTGGTGTGATTCGGTCATTGAATAAGAAAAAAAGAACCGGTTATTTGAATAGTCGTTGAGAATGATATGATGAAGCAACTCGGTCTAGAATAGACAAGTAGTGCACGGTTTTTTTATGGACAATATTCCCCGAACCCTTGACGTAGGTACTAGAAAAAATTAAGCAAAATGGAGCATCTTCGAATTTTTCCAAGAGTACGTTGAGAAGACTATTGCACGACATGGGTTTTATATATGGCAAACAAGGTAGAAATTCAATATTAATAGAAAAAACAAGAAATAGTCGCTTGGAGGCGTCACTATCTCCGGGAAATAAAAGAAAACTGAGGAACGAAGGAGCCAATATCATTTATATGGATAATCATGGGTTAATACTGGAATAACCAATGGGCAAGTATGCAAGATACAACAATAAAAATAGCCGACAGATTGGTTTTGTCCATGCAGGAAACAAAGACGGATTTGTTGAAGGTGTGACATCACTTTTCTTGCCAAATAAGGTGCTGAAGATTACCATGAAGAGATGGACGGAGATCTATTTGAAAAATGGTTTGAAAGAGATGTTTAATACCGAATCTCCCAAAAAATAAAAAGAATGTCATTATCTTGAAAATGAAGATGATTGAAAATTGTTTATTTCGGGGGTATTCTTTTCTCTGTAAAGGTAATAAAATATTTAGTTGATTGGTTGAAATGTAGCACACTTAAATAACTCATTAATCGACATAATTTTAAGTAGTTATATTAGACGTTCATTATGCAAAAAATAAAGTTATGAAAATTTAATAAATTAGTGCACAATTGAGGCCCCTAGAAACAAGGGGTGTAAGTGCCAAAAACAAAGTTTTGAAAAATCTTTGTTCAAAGTTCGATATAAATTTAAAAACCTAGGTGCACTTTTTCAGTTTTCAGCATGTTTTCAATGACATGTAATTTTTGATGGTGTTATTGTTGTTAATGTAGAAAGTTTGAAGCCAAAAGTACGTGCCTGTTGTTAGATATCAGTTGCTAAGTGGATAAGCAACTGCACTTACACACTTGTGTTCTAGGGGCCTCAATTAGGGGTTTTTTGCAATTATCTCAGTCATTTGTTTATGTATTTTAATTTACAAACTAAAAAAATTAAGAAAATTTTTAAGATCTGCAACATTTATTTGAAACATTTTTCCTAAAATGCACGAGGAACAAAATAGGCAAAAAAATGATTTTTTCAAACTTCATTTTCTTTAAAAAAAAACAAAGCAAAATGGCTGTAATTCTTCAGGAATTATCATCAGTTATCCTTATTACCGTTAGACATTAAAAACCTGTAGAATATTTTTCTATTTTTTTCCCTATTAACTGCGGGTATTTATGTATAAAGCATTTTTGGAATTATTACCATTTATTTCATTCACGAATTTTCTATTAACAACTTTAGCGTACCTAAACATATTACCGTGAGTTTGCCCTGCTTATTTTAAAAAAGTAGCAAAAACTTACAATGGCAGTAGAATTGGCAACGCTGTTATCCTATATCCGTACATGCCATCTGAACGTGACTTTATCTATAGTAGTCCTATAACTCAATGTAAACTGTAGATTCGGTGCAGGTTATGACAGAGTTTAGGTCAATAAGAAAGCAGAAGTGATATTGGGCGTCCTGGGTAGACTGATCGCGTATATTGGTGAACCAGGGCAATTGCAGGAGGGCAGTACTTGTATGAAATGGTGGGTTTTGAGATCTACGAGATCTAAATGGCGAACTTTTCTAAAATAAGAGGAGTACTTCCCAGTGTTTTTAGTGGCCACCGTACTAGGTCAAGAGATGCTCTGGCAGGTACTAGCTGGGGTGCCATCGATAGATCTGATAGATAAAAAAAGAACAAATCATTGGAGATGAAATGCAATCCAGTTGGTTCGAAAAACGCTTATGCATCGTCAGATAAAGTGGCGAACAAGCCGAGCGAGCGCCTAGGACGCCAAATTTTTTTTATTATAGCAAGAAGTTTAAGGGTACTTTGTACTTCAATTTAATAAAGAAGATCAATAAGCAGTTCTAACCTATACCTAAATTGTTACAGTTATCTTATTAAGAGCTATATTTTCATTCAGTAATGTTTCTTTAGGTACTAACAGTTTACAGTAGCATTTATATTTTACACAGGTATATTAAGCTCTCTACAATGCTCTGATTTTAAGCTTGACAAGGAGAAGACTGATGTGTGTACTTATATATTGCCAAGAAACGTATAAAGGCACTACAGAGATTTGTTGTATATGAGTGCTGGATGACAAAAAAATAGAAGTTTGAGATGGGCTTAAATGAGAGAATTACTATGGAGAAGCTAGTTGGACTAGTGCTCCAGAACAAAGATTGATCCTAGATAATGTATTTATTGCTACGGTGATGAAAGAGAGACCGGAAGAACGTATCGAGAGGTTTAAAATAAAGTAAAGTGGTACTAAAATTGATGCGATAAAGAGATAATAAAAGATGCATGGTAAAGTACCACCGCAAAGGTTTTCCCCATGCTCTCTAATTGAATGAAGATTTCTTTTGATGAAAGCACCAGCATGGAACTTATGATTATTGGTACCCAACGGGCCATTATTGTTTCATTATCAATTCTGTGAAAACTGTCATTTTTTCACTATATGTAGTTCGCTAATAATTTTCCATTTCTTACAAAAAACAAGAACATACTGTCAAAATCATATTTACCAGCTGGCTCAGTCCAGACCCAGAATCACATTTAATTGAAAACAATTTTACTGGACACTTTGGTGAAGATCACGTTTGCCGTTCTAAATCAGATTTGTTTTTTTTTTCGGATTTGTTAGTATTTTCGACGCTTTTTGTCGATTTTACAATGCTTTTGAAGCATTTACAATGCTTATGATGGTGTTCTGTTTGATGCTATTTCAAAACTTGGGTTTACTTTACTACCACTTTCGTTCTATTTTCAACGCTTAGACAAAATTGCTTCACTTTTTCATCGATTTTAAAATCTTCCGAACGCTTTTAGCTTTTGGAGAAGCATTTTCGAAGATCTTCTATTGCTTTTGATGCTGTTGAAAATCTAGGGATTCGATTGTCAGCGCTTCTGTTGCATTTTCAGGACTTATTGAGGTGTCTCTAACAACGATTTTGATGCTTCAATACTTATTTAAGCAAAGCCTCGAAATTTTGAAGCATTTTCAAGGTTTATCAACTGCTTTTGAAGAAATTGTAATACTTTCCAAACGCTTACGATGACTTTGATGCTATTTTCAAAGCATGGGTTTACTTTACCACCGCTTTGTTATATTTTCAATGCTGCGTAAAGCAAATTGCTTAATTTTTTCATTAATTTTAAAGCATTCCGATAGCTTTGGAAAGCATTTTCGAAGATTTCTACTGCTTTGATGTTGTTACAAACTGTTACGTTGGATTCGATTTTCAGCGCTTTTTGTCATTTCGGACCTATTGAATCGTTTCTAATTATTTTGATGCTTTCACAATGATTTTAGCAGTCTCGACATTTTGAACCAAATTTCAAGGCTTTTCAATAAATTGTAATGCTTTCCAACGCTTACGATGGCATTGATGCTATTTCAAAGCTTCGGTTTACTTTACCACCGCTTTAGTTATATTTTTAATGCTTTGACGAACATCGCTTTACTTTTTCATCGATTTT